TGGAAATAGGGTAGTTGATGAGTGGAACAGTCTACCTAGTTGGGTTATTGAGGCTAGGACTTTGGGTAGTTTCAAATTTAGGTTGGATAAGTACATGAGTGGGAGGGGTTGGATTTGAGAGGGACTTGCACATCGGAGCTTGTTTCTTGGGTGGCATTGAAAATTGGGTTGGTCAAATGTTTGTTAGTGGGATGAATTGTAAAGGACCTGCCTAGTATGGGCCAACAGGCCTGCTGCAGTGTTCCTCCTTTCTTATGACTGAGATACTTATGCAGCATATGGGAATCTTTATTCAGGAAACGTTTCGCCACACAGTGGCTTCATCAGTCCAATACAAAGAGGAAGGCGTAAGGAGAGGAGGAGTATGAGGTAATCAGTCCCTCAGCCTGGAGTCGATGTGTTCAGTCCATCAATCTTGTAGAATGTACAGCATAGGGCCGTAGACGTGGCTTATATACTGTAGTGAGGTGAGGTGAAGCAGGGGGAGGCGGGGTCATAGTGGTACCATCCACTAGTCGAAGTAGGTCTTCGTCCAAAGGTTGAACAAGTGTTGAAGAATTCTTTGTAATAAGATCCCATGATGCTGCAGTGTCTGACAGTTGTGATGAATGGTTTGAAAAACCGACAAGTTGAAGATTGAGACACTTATGCAGCATATGGGAATCTTTATTCAGGAAACGTTTCGCCACACAGTGGCTTCATCAGTCCAATACAAAGAGGAAGGCGTACGGAGAGGAGGAGTATGAGGTAATCAGTCCCTCAGCCTGGAGTCGATGTGTTCAGTCCATCAATCTTGTAGAATGTACAGCATAGGTCGGTTTTTTAAACCATTCATCACAACTGTCAGACACTGCAGCATCATGGGATCTTGTTACAAAGAATTTTTCAACACTTGTTCAACCTTTGGACGAAGACCTACTTCGACTAGTGGATGGTACCACTATGACCCCGCCTCCGCCTGCTTCGCCTCACCTGACTACTTCGACTAGTGGATGGTACCACTATGACCCCGCCTCCTCCTGCTTCGCCTCACCTGACTACTTCGACTAGTGGATGGTACCACTATGACCCGGCCTCCGCCTGCTTCACCTCACCTCACTACAGTATATAAGCCACGTCTACGGCCCTATGCTGTACATTCTACAAGATTGATGGACTGAACACATCGACTCCAGGCTGAGGGAATGATTACCTCATACTCCTCCTCTCCTTACGTCTTCCTCTTTGTATTGGACTGATGAAGCCACTGTGTGGCGAAACGTTTCCTGAATAAAGATTCCCATATGCTGCATAAGTGTCTCAATCTTCAACTTGTCGGTTTTTCAAACCATTCATCACTCCTTTCTTATGTTCTTATAAAGACACCTAGGTGTTGTACATGTGTCTTATTCATCAATAAAGACACCCAGGTGTTGTACATGTGTCTTATTCATCAATAAAGACACCTAGGTGTTGTACATGTGTCTTATTCATCAATAGACACCCAGGTGTTGTACATGTGTCTTATTCATCAATAAAGACACCTAGGTGTTGTACATGTGTCTTATTCATCAATAAAAACACCCAGGTGTTGTACATGTGTCTTATTCATTAATAAAGACACCCAGGTGTTGTACATGTGTCTTATTCATCAATAAAAACACCCAGGTGTTGTACATGTGTCTTATTCATCAATAAAGACACCCAGGTGTTGTACATGTGTCTTATTCATCAATAAAGACACCCAGGTGTTGTACATGTGTCTTATTCATCAATAAAAACACCCAGGTGTTGCAGTGTGTGGGTTAGACCTGCCTAGCAAAGATCATTTATCACACATAGGCCAGTAGGTCTACGGTAGTGCTCCGTAGCCCTCACAGGGGGGGGGGTCGTCTTGATTACCTCCCCCTCCCACCTACCTCTTTCCCATCCCCTCCTCCTTTCCTTCCCCCTCCCTATCCCCTTCCTCCAGGTCAACAGGACGCAACCTGCTCCAGTGTGTCCGGACGCGTGGACACGTGTGTGTGTCCTGCCCCCTCCCCCTTCCCCTCCCCTATGCACCTATCACCTGTGCAATGACGTGGAGAGAGAGAGAGAGGGGGGGAGGGGTGTATATATTTTAACCCCCTCCTCCCCTCCCTCTATCTCCCCTCCCCCCTTCCCCTACCCCTCCTCCTCCTGGACATTCTTGTGTTTTAGAAGGAAATTCTTTTAACTGGACGTGTGATACAGTACCCCCTAGTTAATAACCCCTACCTAACACCACCACCCCTACCTAACACCACTACTCCTACCTAACACCACCACCCCTACCTAACACCACTACCCCTACCTAACACCATCACCCCTACCTAACACCACTACCCCTACGTAACACCACTACCCTACCTAACACCACTACCCCTACCTAACACCACACCCCTACGTAACACCACCACCCCTACCTAACACCACTACCCCTACCTAACACCACTACCCCTACCTAACACCACTACCCCTACGTAACACCACCACCCCTACCTAACACCACTACCCTACCTAACACCACTACCCCTACCTAACACCACTACCCCTACCTAACACCACTACCCCTACCTAACACCACTACCCCTACCTAACACCACTACCCTACCTAACACCACTACCCCTACGTAACACCACCACCCCTACCTAACACCACAACCCCTACCTAACACCACTACCCCTACCTAACACCACTACCCCTACGTAACACCACCACCCCTACCTAACACCACTACCCCTACCTAACACCACTACCCCTACCTAACACCACTACCCCTACGTAACACCACACCCCTACCTAACACCACTACCCCTACCTAACACCACTACCCCTACCTAACACCACTACCCCTACGTAAACACCACTACCCCTACCTAACACCACTACCCCTACGTAACACCACCACCCCTACCTAACACCACAACCCCTACCTAACACCACTACCCCTACCTAACACCACTACCCCTACGTAACACCACCACCCCTACCTAACACCACTACCTACCTAACACACTACCCCTACCTAACACCACTACCCCTACCTAACACCACCACCCCTACCTAACACCACACCCCTACCTAACAACCACCCCCTCACCCACCTAACACACCACCCCTACCTAACACCACACTCCTACCTAACACCACCCCTACCAACACCACCAACCTCTACCTAACACCACCACCCCTACCTAACACCACCACCCCTACCTAACACCACTACTCCTACCTAACACCACCACCCCTACCTAACACCACCACCCCTACCTAACACCACCACCCCTACCTAACACCACTACTCCTACCTAACACCACCACCCTACCTAACACCACCACCCCTACCTAACACCACCACCCCTACCTAACACCACTACCCCTACCTAATACCACCACCCCTACCTAACACCACCACCCCTACCTAACACCACCACCCCTACCTAACACCACCACCCCTACCTAACACCACTACTCCTACCTAACACCACCCCTACCTAACACCACCACCCCTACCTAACACCACCACCCGTACCTAACACCACCACCCCTACCTAACACCACTACTCCTACCTAACACCACCCCTACCTAACACCACCACCCCTACCTAACACCACCACCCCTACCTAACACCCCCACCACCCACTACCTAACACCACCACCCCTACCTAACACCACCCACCCTACCTAACACCACTACCCCTACTTAACACCACCACCCCTACCTAACACCCTACCAACACCCCCTACCTAACACCACCACCCCTACCTAACACCACCACTCCTGGTATAAACCTTGGTAATAAATACCGACAAGCTGGTTTAGAAAGACACGTAAGCAAACACTACGACACACTAGAAAACGTTTCGGTCCTGGGACCTTGATCACGTGATCAAGGTACCAGGACCGAAACGTTTTCTATTAAGTGTGTCGTAGTGTTTGCTTACGTGTCTTTCTAAACCACCACCACTCCTACCTAACACCACCACCCCTACCTAACACCACCACCCCTACCTAACACCACCACCCCTACCTAACACCACCACCCCTACCTAACACCACTACCCCCTACCTAACACCACTACCCCCTACCTAACACCACCACCCCTACCTAACACCACCACCCTACCTAACACCACCACCCCTACCTAACACCACCACCCCTACCTAACACCACCACCCCTACCCAACACCACTACTCCTACCTAACACCTCACTACCCCTACCTAACACCACTACCCCTACCTAACACCACCACCCCTACCTAACACCACTACTCCTACCTAACACCACCACCCCTACCTAACACCACCACCCCTACCTAACACCACCACCCCTACCAAACACCACCACCCCTACCTAACACCACTACTCCTACCTAACACCACCACCCCACCTAACACCACCACCCCTACCTAACACCACCACCCCTACCAAACACCACCACCCCTAACACCACCTCCTCCCCAATACCACAACCCCTCCCTATCACCCCCTCCCTTGTCTGTCCATCGCTGTGGTAAAGGAATGGCGGAATAATGGGAGGGGGTGGGTCGTAGGGGGAGGGATTGGCAGGGGTTAAGGAATATGTGGGGGACGGGGGGTAGGAGACGTACATGATAGACGTAGGGGGATGGGGAGGGGGAAGCCATCCTCCAAGTCAGGTTGTGTGGGAGGGGAGGGGATGTTTTGTCGGGAAGGGGGTTTTAGGGGGAGGGGAGCCCTGGAAGGGGGATAGGGAGGGGGGATGACCACATTAACCCTCTGGTGAGCACTGACAACTTCCCCCCCTCCCCTAGACTGAATTACCACAACCCCTTCCCCTTAAACCCCATTTTAACCCCTTTCCCTTAGGCCTATGGCCTTGTCCCCTTTCATACCCCTCCCTCCACTTCTCCAACACCCACTCACAAAAATCAAGGGGATAGTGGGTGTCTAAGGGGTCGAAATAGGAGAATATAGGGGAGGGTGGGCGGGGGTGGGTTAGGGGTGGGTTAAGGTGGGTCCTCAGTACACTGTCGACTCTCGTGGTGGGTAGACGTGTCTACCTCGCTCCTCCATCTATCGGGGACTATCTATCGACCAGAGTGAGAGTAGACACTATCTATCGAGTAGACAGTGAAAGTAGACACTATTGAGTAGACAGTGAAAGTAGACACTATCGAGTAGACAGTGAAAATAGACACTATCGAGTAGACAGTGAAAGTAGACACTATCTATCGAAAACAGTGCAACTAGACACTATTTGTCGGATAGAGTAGACACTATCGAGTGAGTAGACACCACATAGGCCTAGTGTGTCTATCTGGGCAAAAAAAAATAAAGTGAACGAGAAAAACAACAGGAAAAATACAAGAAAAAACATTAAAACCAAGAAAAACCGATTAAAAACCAAGAAAAACCGATTAAAAACCAAGAAAAACCTATAAATAATCAAGAAAAAACAATTAAAAACCAAGAAAAACCTATAAAAACCAAGAAAAACCGATTAAAAACCAAGAAAAACCTATAAAAACCAAGAATCGATTAAACCAAGAAAAACCTATAAAAACAAGAAAAACCGATTAAAAACCAAGAAAAACCTATAAAAAAACAAAGAAAACTCGATTAAAAACCAAAAAAGCTTAAAAACCGTGAGAAACCCAAATAACGAGAAAAAGGGATTTAAATAAAGGTTAAACCCTCAAAAAACCCAAGAAAACCGGGAAAACCCAGGGAAAAAACGTGAAAACCCAAGAAAACCGGGGAAAAACCGTGAAAACAGGAAAAAACCGTGGAAAAAACCATAAAAACTAGGATAAATCCACAATAAACCAGACAAAACGTGAAAACCCCATAAAAAAAACAATAAACCAGAAAAACCCACAAGAAAACCGGAAAAAACGTGAAAAACCTGTAAAACCGAATATTTTTGGCTATAATTTCCAGTGAGGGAAATTTTGGTTTAGTTTCTAGTGATTTAAGTAGGCCTACCGTCGGACCCCCTCCCCCCTCCATGGCCTCATAGAGGCCTAAAAAAAAACGGGATTTTTGGGGAAAAAAATTCACGACGTATCGAGCAACAAGGACATAACAACCAGCAATGGTGAGTTATTATTATTATTATTATCATTATTATTATTATTATTATTATTATTATTATTAATTTATTATTATTATTATTATTATTATTATTATATTATTATATATTATTTCATTATTATTATTATTGTTATTATTATTATTATTATTATTATTATTATTATATTATTATTATTATTATTATTATTATTATTATTATTATTAGTATTATTATTATTATTAATTTATTATTATTATTATTATTATTAATTTATTATTTTTATTTATCATTATTATTAATTAATATTATTTATAATTTTAATTATTATTTTATTATTATTCTTAATTAATTATTATTAATTATTTTTATAATATTATTATTGCTACCATAGGCCTACTGGACAATGCTAGGTAGGTTCAACACTGCTATAGGCCTACTGGACCATGCTAGGTAGGTTCAACACTACAATAGGCCTACTGGACCATGCTAGGTAGGTTCAACACTACAGTAGGTCTACTGGACCACGCTAGGTAGGTTCAACACTACAGTAGGCCTACTGGACCATGCTAGGTAGGTTCAACACTACAGTAGGCCTACTGGACCATGCTAGGTAGGTTCAACACTACAATAGGCCTACTGGATCATGCTAGGTAGGTTCAACACTACAGTAGGTCTACTGGACCATGCTAGGTAGGTTAAACACTACAGTAGGCCTACTGGACCATGCTAGGTAGGTTCAACACTACAGTAGGCCTACTGGACCATGCTAGGTAGGTTCAACACTACAGTAGGTCTACTGGATCATGCTAGGTAGGTTCAACACTACAGTAGGTCTACTGGACCATGCTAGGTAGGTTAAACACTACAGTAGGCCTACTGGACCATGCATTTACGGTAGGTTCACAAGTTCAACACTACAGTAGGCCTACTGGACCATTCTAGGTAGGTTCAACACTACAGTAGGCCTACTGGACCATTCTAGGTAGGTTCAACACTACAGTAGGCCTACTGGACCATGCTAGGTAGGTTCAACACTACAAAAGGTCTACTGGACCATGCTAGGTAGGTTCACTACAGTAGGCCTACTGGACCATGCTACCTGGAGGCTATTCCAGGGATCAACACTACAAGGTCTACGGACCCGGTTTCCCTACCAGGCCTACTACCGCATGGACGTGTTTCCTGGGGTCAACGCCGCGCGGCCGCACGCAGCTCCAACGTGGCCACAACAGGCTGTTCCGGCGCACTGCATAGTACGGAAGCCCTGTCCACTGCTTTGCTCCTCTCTTGAAGGCAGCCAGGGGTTTATTGGCAAATCCCCTAATGCTTGATGGGAGGCTGTTGAACAGTTTTTGGGCCCCGGACACTTATGGTGTTTTCCCTTAGTGTACCAATGGCGCCCCTACTTTTTATTGGGAGCATTTTGCATCGCCTGCCCAGTCTTTTACTTTCGTAGGGAGTGATTTCTGTGTGCAGATTTGGGACCATTCCTTCCAAGATTTTCCAAGTGTAGATTATGATATATCTCTCCCTCCTGCGTTCCAACGAGTACAAGTCAAGTGCTTCCAAGCGTTCCCAGTAGTTAAGGGTGCTTGACAGAACTTATACGTGCAGTAAAGGATCTCTGTACACTCTTTAGATCTGCGATTTCACCTGCTTTGAATGGAGATGTTAATGTACAGCAGTATTCTAGCTTAGAGAGTACAAGTGATTTGAAAAGGATCATCATGGGCTTGGCATCTCTCGTTTTGAAAGTTCTCATTATCCATCCTATTATTTTCTTTGCACGAGCGATCGTGGCACTGTTGTGATCCTGAAAGTGAGATCCTCAGACATTACTACCCCAGGTCCTTACATTATTTTTCCGCTCTATTGTATGGCCGGAGTCAGTAGTATACTCTGTTCTAGTTATTATCTCCTCCAGTTTTCCATAACGGAGTAGTTGGAATTTGTCCTCATTGAACATCATATTGTTTACCGTTGCCCACTGGAAAACTTTGTTTATATCTTCTTGGAGGTTAACCGCGTCCTCAGCAGATGACAGCCTCATGCAGATCCTAGTATCATCCGCAAAGGATGATACGGTGCTGTGGTGTATATCTCTGTTTATGTCTGATATGAGGATAAGAATAAGATGGGGGCGAGTACTGTGCCTTGTGGAACAGAGCTCTTCACTATGGCAGCCTCCGATTTAACTCTGTTGACCACTACTCATTGTATTCGATTTGTTAGGAAGTTGAAGATCCATCTCCCCACTTTCCCAGTTATTCCTTTAGCACGTATTTTATGGGCTATTACGCCATGATCGCATTTGTCAAATGCTTTTGCAAAGTCTGTGTATATTACATCTGCATTCTGATTTTCTTCCAGTGCATCCAAGGCCATGTCATAGTGATCCAGTAGTTGTGAGAGGCAGGAGCGACCTGCCCTGAACCCATGTTGCCCTGGATTGTGCAGATTTTGGGAATCCAGGGGATTTGCAATCCTGCTTCTTAGCACTCTTTCAAAGATTTTTATGATGTGGGACGTCAGAGCTATTGGTCTATAGTTCTTAGCTAATGCTTTGCTGCCACCTTTATGGAGTGGGGCTATATCCGTTGTTTTAAAGTGACTGTGGAATTTCACCCATGTCCAAGCTCCTCCTCCATAGTGTACTTAGGGCACGCGAGAGGGGTTTCTTGCAGTTCTTAATGAAAACAGAGTTCCACGAGTCTGGGCCCGGCTGAGTGCATAGGCATGTTGTCAATGGCTTTTTCGAAATCTGTCGGAGTTAGGGTAATGTCGGAAATCTGGCATACATTTATGGAGTTTTGAGGCTCATTCATGAAGAAATCATTTGGGTCGTCGATCCTCAGACCGATTAGTGGTTCACTAAACACAGAGTCATACTGGGATTTCAATATTTCACTCATTTCCTTGTTGTCATCTGTGTAAGTCCCATCCTGTCTGAGTAAGGGCCCGATACTAGATGTGGTATTTGCCTTGTTTTTGGCATATGAAAAGAAATATTTTGAATTTCTTTCAATTTCACTAATAGCTTTAAGCTGCTCCTGCCTCTCCTGGTTCCTGTAGGAGTCATTTAGCTTAAGTTCGATAGTTTCCACTTCCCTGGTCAGCGCCTCCTTTCGTTTATCAGATATTCTAGCACTCCTGAGGAGCTCAGTGACTCTTCGTCGTCTTCTGTAGAGGGAGCTTCTTTTTCTCTCCAGTTTACTCCTGCTGTTCTTGTTTCTTAGGGGAATATGCCTAGAACATGTTTCGGCTACCAGGAAGTTGATCCTTTCAAGGGACTGGTTTGGATCCATGTCATTTAAGACATCTTCCCAACATGTTTCGTTTAGGACATGGTTTACCTGGTCCCAGTTGATGTTCTTGTTGTTGAAGCTGTATTTTGTGAAGACACCTTCACAGGTACATGCATTCTGCTGATCAGTACCCCTATGCATGTACGTCTGGACTTCGATTAGGTTGTGATCGGAATCAGTTGTTTTTGATATTATGTCTCTTATCAGGTCCTCATTATTTGTGAAGATAAGGTCAAGTGTGTTTTCTAGTCTAGGTAGGTTCAACACAACAGTAGGCCTACTGGACCATGCTAAGTAGGTTCAACACTACCATAGGTCTACTGGACCATGCTAGGTAGGTTCAACACTACAGTAGGTCTACTGGACCATGCTACGTAGGTTCAACACTACCATAGGTCTACTGGACCATGCTAGGTAGGTTCAACACTACAGTAGGTCTACTGGACCATGCTAGGAAGGTTCAACACTACAGTAGGCCTACTGAACCATGCTAGGTAGGTTCAACACAAAAGTAGGCCTACTGGACCATGCTAGGTAGGTTCAACACTACAGTAGGTCTACTGGACCATGGTAGGTAGGTTCAACACTACCATAGGTCTACTGGACCATGCTAGGTAGGTTCAACACTACAGTAGGTCTACTGGACCATGCTAGGTAGGTTCAACACTACAGTAGGTCTACTGGACCATGCTAGGTAGGTTCAACACTACCATAGGTCTACTGGACCATGCTAGGTAGGTTCAACACTACAGTAGGTCTACTGGACCATGCTAGGTAGGTTCAACACTACAGTAGGTCTACTGGACCATGCTAGGTAGGTTCAACACTACAGTAGGTCTACTGGACCATGCTAGGTAGGTTCAACACTACAGTAGGTCTACTGGACCATGCCAGGTAGGTTCAACACTACAGTAGGTCTACTGGACCATGCTAGGTAGGTTCAACACTACAGTAGGTCTACTGGACCATGCTAGGTAGGTTCAACACTACAGTAGGTCTACTGGACCATGCTAGGTAGGTTCAACACTACAGTAGGCCTGCTGGACCATGGTAAGTTAGTTCAACACTACATTAGGCCTACTGGACCATGTTAGGTAGGTTAACACTACAGTAGGCCTACTGGACCATGCTAGGTAGGTTCAACATTACAGTAGGCCTACTGGACCATGCTAGGTAGGTTCAGCACTGCAGTAGGCCTACTGGACCATGGTAGGTAGGTTCAACACTACAGTAGGCCTACAGTGCTAGGAAGACTCAAAACCTGTGACATAAGAGGTGTGCAACAGGTGTTCAACGCGTTGAGTTCGCTTATGTACAACACCTGGGTGTCTTTATTGATGAATAAGACACATGTACAACACCTAGGTGTCTTTATTGATGAATAAGACACATGTACAACACATAGGTGTCTTTATTGATGAATAAGACACATGTACAACACCTGGGTGTCTTTACTGATGAATAAGACACATGTACAACACCTGGGGTGTCTTTATTGATGAATAAGACACATGTACAACACCTGGGTGTCTTTATTGATGAATAAGACACATGTACAACACCTGGGTGTCTTTATTGATGAATAAGACACATGTACAACACCTGGGTGTCTTTATTGATGAATAAGACACATGTACAACACTTGGGTGTCTTTATTGATGAATAAGACACATGTACAACACCTGGGTGTCTTTATTGATGAATCAGAGACATGTACAA